ATATATTTATTTAAAATAAATTATAGCAGAGGAAGTTCTCTGCAGAGAAAAAAAATACCATTTTTTAAATCAAACTGACAAGTTTCTCCAGTAAAATTATTGTGTAATTTAAAGGCATTGAAACACCTGGTTAAATTTAGAAGATATTATGATTAACTACAAACATCTGAAGCTGACTCAGAGAAGTCCGTGATTTTATAAAAAATAAAAGTCAAATGTAGACACGTCTTTAAAAGACCCTCCTCCTCCCCACCACCACCCCGCACAGCTGCGGTCAGCGCACCTCTTCTCCATCCACGTGATTAATACTGTTTTTTTGTGCAAATTACAGATTTTTTTATGCTCATTAAAACACGTTAAACATCTGAAGGGGTTGACGTGTATGAACTCTTCAGTCCCAGGCTGGTCGGAGCCGAGCTGCAGGTGGGCAGGTGCAGCTGCTGTAAAGTTGCTGCCCCTCGCTTTAAAAACAGTCAGCTGATCGGTCGCGGTTTTGTTGCACTCGTGACGTGAACACACAGGGGAAATGCCGCGAAGTGATTTTAGAAATATAATAAATATAAAATATGACGTAATCCTCGGTGGAAAATAGTCCAGGAAACGTGTGCGTTCCCGGGAGGTGCTCACCTGCAGCTGTGTGAAGCTGACCCCCCACCCACAGAGAAAGAAAAAAAGGCAGTAATTATTGATAAGGTAACCATGCTGTAGCTTCACCTGTCACATTTTCTTTTAAAGAAAGAAAAAGCTTGCAAAGCTGTCACATCGGTGCTACGTGATTAAAAGCAGAGCTGCGCGTCTAATCGCACACGTCTTCCTATCTTTGCGAGGACCACACACAGCGCTCAGCCTCGCTCTGCGCCGTCTTTTTCCCCAAGTTTGGTGAGAGGTGGATATGGAGGGACGCAAAAATTGAGTTACAACAACACCTAATTTCCCTCTGGGATCAATAAAGTATGTTTGAATTGAATTGAATTTGAATTGGAAAATATAGCTCTCGACTTTGTCTGGCCTTATTTAAATAAAATTGACTACATGCCGTGAAATTCTTAGAGAGGTGGGCCGTCTCGTTGGCGGGGGGGCCCGCCCCGTCTGTATAATGGTAGGGGAAACAGTTTTTGGCAAGACACATCAGCTCTATGTTCACAGAGGGAAAAATGAAGCATATCAAGAACAGAACACTGTCCCTATTGTGAAACATGGAGGCGGCTCTACTATGTTCTGGGGCTGCTTTGCTGCATCTAACACAGGGGGTCTTGAATCTGTGCAGAGTACAATGAAATCTCAAGACTATCAAGGGATTCTAGAGAGAAATGTGCAGCCAGTGTCAGAAAGCTTGGTCTCAGTTGCAGGTCATGGGTCTTGCAACAGGATAACAACCCAAAACAGCTAAAAACAACAAGAGAAAAACACTGGACTATTCTGAAGTGGCTTTCCATGAGCCCTGACCTAAATCCTACTGAGCATCTTTGAAAGGAGCTGAAACATGCTGTCTTCACCTTTCAAACCTGAGACAACTGGAGCAGTTTGTTCATTAATAGTGGAACAAAATACCTGATGAGAGGTGCAGACGTCTCACTGACAGTTACAAGAATCATTTGATTGCAGTGATTGCCTCAAAAGGTCGTGCAACAAAATAATAAGTTAAGGGTACCATCATTTCTGTCCAGGCCTGTTTCATGAGTTTCATTTTTTTTATTCTGTTGAAGCATGGCTGAAAAGCAACGTCGGACTTTCATTTGATCATTTTCATAAAATTTGTATTTTTTTTTTACTTCTGTCAGATTCAAGTTATTTCTGTGACCATTGTGTTTTTTCTTTCATTAAATTAGGGGTTACCAACAATTTTGTCCACGTGTACATGCATGCAAAGTGCATGGGTGATGTCACAGTACTTTTACTTTCACTTTTACAAAGAATGGCTGAGATTTTGGAAGGAATCCTTCAGATCAGGGTACAAAGTAGACTTCTGGTTGACAAGAACTGACCTTTCCTGAGCCATCAAGAAATAAAAAGACATCATAAGTGGAGGTCACCATTTATGCCTCTTTTCTGGACAGGCTAAACATTTGCTATTGCAGGTTAAAGGCAATGAATAAGGCACCAACTGATAGAACCCCCTACACCTTGCTTTATCCACCTGTTTACAGATAATGTGATCATACATGTCTTGCGCACCATCCTATTCCACTCAGAGTAAAAGAACAGCTATGTCAAGATTTTGTTTATTGACTTATTTTCAGTCTTTAACGCCATAATCCCACAGCAGTTTACAGTGATGTTCTCTCTGCTCAGACTTGGAAACCTCACTTTGGAACTAGAAATTGGATTTCTTGTCAGAAACACAAAAATATCCATCCAAAAAAATAAATAAATAAACAATTTAAAAAAATAAAAACTTAAATTAAATTAAATTTAAAAAAAAGAAGAAACAAAAATATGTAGGTGCTGGTAGTAAGACATCACAGTCTAGTTTAATGAACGCAGGAACCCTTCAGGGATGTGTACTCAGTCCTTGTCACTTTACTCTGCTACAGTGTACTGCTGAAGTTTAATGGATAGGAAAACTCTGCAACATGTCATAAGAATTGCTGAGAAAACTCCTAATGTTTCACACACCAATTTCAAAGGAAAAACGCAAGAAGAAAGTTCCTTGCATTTTTGTGAACTGTTTAATCTTGAGCCATCTGGTAAAAGATGTCATTCCACAAAATGTGCAACAACTTCCTTCTTCAGAAAATAAGCCTGGAGAAGTCTCAGCAGAATACAAAAATACTTTTCACTTTGTGATGTGGTGTGGATAAAAATAACTAGCATCTGCAGCTGATATAAAAGAATGGTGAGTAGGAGACAAGGTTATCTTTAGAGCTCATGGTTGTGATAACTGTGTGGGTCCTTTAAATCATGGGTTGAAGTGGGGAAAAAACAACCACACAAACAGCAAAATTAGGGAAGATGAAAGTAAAGGGCATCTTGGTCTTGCGGCTTAACTTGCACTGTTCCGTTTTTTGTGCACATCTGTCTAAATTGGACTAAAACGCTGCCTGCACACTTTTCCGACCAAGTTAAAAAGTTTATTGTCGCAGGAATGAATGAACTCTACTGTCCTATCTGCATGCAACATTAAAACAACAGACCCAGGTGTCAGTAAAGTTAATATTTACAACGTTGTCAAGCTAAATGAGCACTAGTCAGTGTTTTTGTGTAACTGTGTGTGTATATTTGTGTTCGTCAGTGACCTTGCATTTGGGACAGACAAATCCGCTCATGTTCTCCACCACTCCGATGATCGGCAGCTTAACCTTCTGACAGAATCTGATTTCCTTTCGCACATCTTGCAGTGACACCTCCTGAAAAATGAGAGAAAATGTGTCAAAATTTAAAAAAAAGAGTGAAAAAATGTGTAAAGGTGGGAGAGGGGGTTCAGGAAAAGACAGGTGATGAAAGTGCATTAAACTAAACAGCTTTCATGTAAGAATGTGCTAAAATAGTTAACTGTATTAAAAAAAAACTTTGAGAAGAGCTGATTAATGCATTGTCACATAAGAATTTAGGTTGCGTCTCAGGTTAATTACAGCTTGGTGTGCGTTATGGTTACATGATGACTCATGGAATGAGGAAGAGTTTTGGCTGAAGCCTAATGTCACAAGATCAACCAAAACTATAAGGAAATAATTAGTTTAAATAGTTTCTCACAGTGGATGGTGGGAGTTCTATCTGGGAACACAAGGAATTAATCTAAAGCAGCATCTACTTGTTTATACAGGGTTCCAGAGTTCAATTTAAGACATCTTAAGACCACTTTAATGTCACATGAAATGACATTTAAGACCAACTTCATAATAAACACAGATGAAAAAGAAACCCAGTTAGTGACAATTTTACCCAAATGTTTATTTTAACACAAAACAGCTACCTAAAGAGGCATTCAGTAAATTATTTTAGAAAATAAATAAATGTTACCTATTATGCTACCACAGACCGACAGACAGACCGACAGACCGACAGACAGACAGACAGACAGACAGACAGACAGACAGACAGACAGACAGACAGACAGACAGACAGACACAACCGAAAACATTACCTCCTCGGCGGAGGTGATAATGTAGACTAACGACATAAAATGGTTAAATTAAATTGCATTGGCTATTAATGCTGTTGTATAACACTACAATATTAATATGAAGTTAATTGAAGTTTGGAGACATTTTAAAATGCTTTTTTATTTTCAGAAACGCATCCGACACTTGCGGCAGGGGGTGTTAGCGGTGCGCGACTGCTCTTCTTCTGAATAAACGAAAAAGGCTCACAGTTGTTTACACTTGAATTAAAAATATTTGACCAAAGGAAAAGCGGAGCAGGACTAGAGAGAGATGAATATGACTTAGATTTTTATTTCTGTGACTGTATAGCTACAACCCACAGGAGACACGACATTAACAGCACATTTCATTCCTTTAAGCAGCTCCTTTTATTCCACAGCCGACGCTGCTAAAAATGACAAATTTTCTTTTCTTGATCTCGGAGAGCAGGACTTCAATCTCCGAACTCGTAAAGTTTTTCTTTTTACTTTTCGCTGTCATTTTCATGAATGGACACTTCCTGATATCTGAGGCAGGAAACATAGCCTTATATGGTGTTTTTGGGGTGGTAATTATACTAATCTCCACTCCGCGTGCACGAGCAGCTGGATACGAACAGGTGGAATTTACGCAGCTCATTTAAACACTTTTCCTGAAGATAGAAAAAGAGTTTGTTGAATCTGACGTGACATGTTCGTACAAACCCTTCATACGAACAAAAGTAAGAGAAATTTAGGATAAGAATACGAACATGTTCTTACATGTGGCCCATTGTGTCACAAAAAAGTAGAAATAGTGATTTGGTCGAGAGGGGAGTTTTTTTAAGTACATGATTCATCAACAGCTTTCTCTTACTGTCTGTTACAGATGTGGTTAAATATAAAGTTACAAGTTACAAATAAACCATGAACAAGCACAATTAATTGTATTTGGAATTGTCTTTTTGTTTTGTGTGCATCACATTGGCCAATGACAACTTTTTTTAAAAATATGCTACAAATACATTTGATTTGAGATTGGATGCAGTTAAAGTGTATGCAGTACGCACACAACCTTTAAAGATGGAATTTCCCTTTACAGTTCCTTTTATTAGTAAGTGTCTGTTACTGCCATGTGAGTTCAAAACACCCAGCAGTTATTAAGCTTGTAGGTGTTTAGGTTTCTGAAACTCACAAGACTAAGGAAAAAAAACATTGGTTACAGCTGTTAACCTTACTCATTTAAACACCAACAAAAAGGAAAGTAAGGGTGTTGGGTTGTAATAAGCTGGGTCAGTAAAATGCAATTCAGAAAAACCTAAAGGTCTAAAGCAGTGTTTCCCAAACTTTTTATCTTCTGACCCACAAAATATCCATGGCAAAAACTTGTGACCCCAAATATCACTGGTCTGAGTACACGAACTTTGTTAATAACCCTAAAAACACAGGCTTTTTGACAATCTATACAGCTTGTACACAAATATAAATATTTATTTATACTTATTTTGTGTTTTTGTAATAATTATAGGGAAACTTTTACATCAGCAATCATTTTATTACCCTTTAAATTGATTTCTGGAGATAATCCAAGGTGCTTCATGACCCATAATTGGGTTCCAAGCCCAACTTTGGGAACCAAAGTGCAGTGGTTCCCAAACTTTTTAGCTTTAGACCCACAAAATAACAGTAGCAGAGACCTGTGCCCCCAACTGTTTTTGGATGGTAAACAGTTGTATCAGGTCAACAAAACATGGGCATTGTAACAATATTTTTACACTACATTTATCCATTTTAAATATACTAACCTCACTCCTTTGTAACAACTAAGGCAAAAATGTAATTAATTCCGAAAATCTTTTCAGGACCCCACCTTGATGTTTCAGGACCCCACTTTGGGTCCCGACCCCAACTTTGGGAAACACTGGTCTAAAGGATGAATCTTTCATAAATTTATCACCAAACTATAAAACAACCCGTCAAGTGTTTTTATGTGACTTTAATATTAGTGTGCTAATCGTACCATTTGTAACATCATTTGGAGAACCAATAATTACTACAAATATATTGCACTAAATTCAAGGTATTTCAGGTGTAAAACAACCTTGACCCTCGTAAAAAAGCATGGTGGTGGTAGCATCATGCTGTGGGGAAGTCAAACCCCAGACCTTAAACTGAAAGAAGGTAACACTGTGCACCTGTGGTGTGGTGATGATGACCGCTCCATCAACATGAGTGGAGCTCAGGTACTGCACGACTGACAAGTGTTCATCTGAGGTGCCAGGCGGGGTGTCCAAGATGAGGTAATCCAGCTCCCCCCAGTCAACGTCCCTTAAAAACTGTTTGATCATCCCTGTTTCAAGACAAATTCACACAAGTTGAAGTTTTCATTGAGAAACCATAAAGTACGCATTACACACACAAATGCACCATTTTTCTTGGGTCCTCTCCAGATCACCGCGTCATCAGGACTACTGAGCAGAAAGCCAATAGACATAACTGCCAGGTTGTCATCCACATACTGCAACACAGACACAGGATTGTATTAGATTTTTCTGAATAAAATAATAATTAATATGAAGCTCTGTTTGAAGTGACTCACCACAGGAGACCAGCCAGAACCACTTTGGTGAACCTACATGTGAGAGAGACGTGAGACACGATAGAAGTAGAAATAGTGATAGATTTATTTACATGACCAAAAAATTAAAAAAATTAAAAAACGTTTCACTAAATTGAATGAGTCTACTTGAAATGATCTAAAACTGACAAAACAGGGAAATAACACATTCTATAGTTAAAATATCACAAATGGTTGCCAGCATCAAATGTTTTTGACCATTTCTGTGAATGACGTACTTGTTCTCCCTCCAAGCCCATGATCCTGGGAATGGATGGACCACAGATATCCACATCCAGGAGGCCGACCTAAAAACAGCCAAATTTTGGGTG